AGAAACCAAGATGTGGGCATTAAATATGCTCTTTGCTACTGGGTGTCATTTCTTCTAGGCCCTCTCAGCTGACAAAACACAGAAATATATGTGCATATACTAACCTATGTATGTACACATATCTATAAATATTTCTAAGTGTAACCATCTGTATCTATATTAAGTTAAACATAAGTTCTTACTGATGTCTCCAACTCTAGTCCATTGTGCTATGGATTATTCTATCTCGTTCCCCTTGTTTATCTATAATCTTCCATTCGTGACAGGAATTATATAATATGATCTTATTTAATCCTATGATATAGCTATTATTATCACATTTCATAGTTGAAGAAACTGAGGCTCAGAGACTATAAATTTTTTTCAAAGACACAGCAATTAAGAGGTAGAACTAGGACCTCTTCTGGGAGAAAAAGAACAAAGAAGGTGTGGAATTGAGAAGGTATATGATTTTTGCAGTAGGCTATACTGGTAAATCAACAAAAGAGACTAATGCTAGGTTGATATGACCCCCAGTTAAACACTGATGATTCTGAAATTATGCCAGCCATTTAAATCTTTAAGGAGCAAATTATCATACTGAAAATCTAATTATACAATGCTCCATGAGTCAACTGCAAAACTGTTTAAATGTCTTTTTTATCTTCTAAAAGAAATTTTGACCTACTCCTAAATAAATAAAGACCATTGGGTGTTGTCCATTTTTAATGAATTGATTGAAGGATGATATGGGAGTGAATTAGACATGTAATTTTTACCTCTGGTACAAATTTTTCCTAAACCATTTAAAAAATCTCAAACAATAACCTCACGTTGCCCTAAAGAAGTTATGGCCTACTCCAAAATCTTAATCTTTCCTCACTGAAAAGGAAGTTTTGTGATTTAAAAGCTTGGAAAACTGCATATATATCAGTCCCCTCTTGAAAATTCATATATGCTTATTAAAGTAACTGAGAAAACCTTTAACAAAAAATCAATTCTAAACTATCAAGTAACTATCTCCCAAATATATTTGTCCATAGAATGCTTTTTTTTTTTTTACTGTGGGCTATGAATATCACATAGATCTATATTCAGAATGCAACACTTTATTTATTTCATAAGAGGAGGGACTTGGTCCATTTTTTCTGTTTCATAAACCTAAAACATAGGGTCTGGAACACAGTAGGTACTCAATTAATAGTTGTTAAATATGTGGATAGGCAAATATTTATTTTTATTTTTTTGAGACAGAGTCTCATTCTGTTGCCCAGGCTAGCGTACTGTGGCATCAGCCTAGCTCACAGCAACCTCTAGCTCCTGGGCTCAGGCGATCCTCCTGCCTCAGCCTTCCAAATAGCTGGGACTACAGGCATGTGCCACCATGCCTGGCTAATTTTTTCTATATATATTTTGTTGTCTAGCTAATTTCTTTCTATTTTTAGTAGAGATGGGGTCTTAGTCTTGCTCAGGCTGGTCTCAAACTCCTGAGCTCAAATGACCCACCTACCTCAGCCTCCCAGAGTGTTAGGATTACAGGCGTGAGCCATTGTGCCCAGCCAGCAAATATTTATTGAGCATTTTTATATACCAGCCACAAGGAATATAATGGTAAAAAAATAAACATGATCCCTGTCCTCCTATAACAGTCTACTGGGGAAGATTGTAAAAAGGCAAGTAAAAACGTTATATTTTAGATAAGAGTTACGGAACCAGGCCGGGCGCAGTGGCTCACGCCTGTAATCCTAGTACTCTGGGAGACCGAGGCGGGAGGATTGCTCGAGGTCAGGAGTTCGAAACCAGCCTGAGCAAGAGCTAGACCCTGTCTCTACTATAAATAGAAAGAAATTAATTGGCCAACTAATATATATAGAAAAAAACTTAGCCGGGCATGGTGGCACATGCCTGTAGTCCCAGCTACTCGGGAGGCTGAGGCAGCAGGATTGCTTGAGCCCAGGAGTTTGAGGTTGCTGTGAGCTAGGCTGACGCCATGGCACTCACTCTAGCCTGGGCAACAAAATGAGACTCTGTCTCAAAAAAAAAAAAAAGGACTGGAAGAGAGTTTTATTATATAAAGAGACTATTTACAGAGATGTGGACAAGATTAAAGGGGAGAAAAAAGGGAAAAGGATCTCAAGAACCAAAGACAGCCAGAAGCCATTAGGTCCCTTAGACTTGAAAGACAAAGGAGTCAGTAGAAGCAAGGCATTGGGGGTTGGCTGAAAATAAATTATATTTCAGTATCTAGGTCATATGAAGGCAGCACAAACCACTTCTATATAAGTAGGCCAAAATTGTAATTCCATGTAGACTAAAACCAAATCTGTCTTCTTGACTGTATCTTAGCACCTATTACAGTCCTCACTATCCAATAGTGGCACCGTTAGATATAATTTATACATGTGTATTGAATGTATAAATTGCATCCAACAGACATAACTTTCTTCAACAGCAATAATCATATGTGTTTAAATGGAAAGAACTTACCTCTTTCATAGAGTTTTAATTCTTCTGAAATTTTGCATAACATGTAGTTACTACAGTTAAATAGGGTAATTTTTATAAGACTTTAACTGTTTCAAGTTTAGAACTGTGCCCTATTTGGCAATTATATATTCCAAATGAGGAAAACTATTCTTTTGGTGGTCTAAGAAGAAACCAGAGAAATCATCAATAAACTGAACAGAGGTTTGAAAGGATACTTTCACAAAGGTGTAAAGTGGGTCTTCTTTTATGTTTAGGTTTAAGTGTGTGAGCAGTGAATTAAAGAGCATCTTAGAAAAAAGTATTTTTGCCAGATAGAAGAACTTTTCATTAATTTGCATATATAAATTATATTGTTCCATTCTATGTGAAAAAGATTTATTAAGTATTAATATGACTTTGAAAAAATAACTGGCTCTAGATAATTAAAAATATATGTAAAAAAGGATTTGTTTAGGTTGCATAAATTAATTCACATTTGAAAACACACTATGCATGATAATATTTTGTAGAGCATCATAAGCAGTAAGTGCCAAGTTTATTTTTCTTTCCTATTTAATGTTTAAAACAAAGAACATAAGCAATTAAAAAACATGCTGCAGCATTATGGCCAAAATCTGTCTTTTTGCTAGTATTCATCATCCAGGTGCTTTGGGTAGAATTGACTCAGTGCCCCCAGAAATGGGCATGACTCAAGGTTGACCATAGAAAGCCACAGTGATTACTTCAAAGATTGACATACCAGTTAATTAGAGCCAATAAGGCACAAGGATGAAGAAAGTAAGATGTCATTGGGTTCATAATACATATGTGTATAAGTATATATAAAATATAAATATATTTTGGTGATACAGTCAATGGAATTTGCTAATAGTTTAGTATAAGGAAAAGGAAGAGTCAAGATTGATTACCCTGAGCATTTGGGTGATGATGAGCCATTTACTGACATAAGAAACACAGGAGAAAAAACAGGTTTTATGGATTAGAAGTTAAGGGTTTAGGCTGGGTGTGGTGGGTGGTGACTCATGCCTGTAGTCCTAGCACTCTGGGGGGCCGAGGCGGGAGGATTGCTCAAGCTCAGGAGTTCGAAACCAGCCTGAGCAAGAGCGAGACCGCCCCCCCTACTAAAAATAGAAAGAAATTAATTGGCCAACTAACAACATATATAGATAAAAAATTAGCTGGGCATGGTGGCGTGTGCCTGTAGTCCCAGCTACTCAGGAGGCTGAAGCAAAAGGACTGCTTGAGCCTAGAAGTTTGAGGTTGCTGTGAGTAGGCTGACACCAGGGCACTCTAGCCTGGGCAGCAAAGTGAGACTCTATAAAATTGACCAGTGAAGTCATTTGTACTTGGAGTTTCTTTTATAGGGGTGTTTTAAAGTAAAGAGTTCAATTTCTTTAATAACTATTCAGCTGTTTATATTTTTATTTCTTCTTCATTCAGTTTTGATAATGTGTCTCCTTCAAAAAGAAATTTGTGGGCCGGGCGCAGTGGGTCACGCCTGTAATCCTAGCTCTCTGGGAGGCAGAGGCGGGTGGATTGCTCAAGGTCAGGAGTTGAAACCAGCCTGAGCAGGAGCGAGATCCTGTCTCTACTATAAATAGAAACAAATTAATTGGCCAACTAATATATATAGAAAGAATTATCCGGGCATGGTGGCGCATGCCTGTAGTCCCAGCTACTCGGGAGGCTGAGGCAGCAGGATTGCTTGAACTCAGGAATGTGAGGTTCCTGTGAGCTAGGCTGATGCCATGGCACTCACTCTAGCCTGGGCAACAAAATGAGACTCTGTCTCAAAAAAAAAAAAGAAAAGAAAAGAAAAGAAATTTGTCCCTTTCATTCAGGTTGTGGAATTTATTGGCATAAATCTGTTCACAATATTTCCCTTTATCCCTTAAATATCTGTAATGATTAATTTTTGTTTTCTGTATTTCTTGACCAATCTAACTAAAAGTTTATAAATATTATTAACCTTTTCAAAGAACCAGTTCCTAGTTGCTTCTAAGAACAAGGATATTCTCCTACATAATCACAATACCATTATTTCACCCATGAAATTTAACAATGTCAGGGACTGTGGGAAGGGGAAATGAGGAATGACTGCTAATGGCTATAAAGTTCCTTTTAGGGGTGATAAAAATATTCTTTAACTTTGTACCCCAGTATTTTCAAAGTTCATCCATGTTGTAGCATATATCAGTACTTTTCATGACTGTAAATATTCTATTGTTTGGATATATCATATTTTGTTTATCCATTTATCTCTCCATATCAAGTTATACAGCTCTTCCTAACTTCATTACATAAAAATTTCTCTTCAAAAGACAAGCTAGGTGGGGTGGCATGCACCTGTAATCCCAGCTACTCAGGAGGCTGAGGCAGTAGGAATGCTTGAGTCTAGGAATTGGAGACCATTGTGGGCCTAACCTTTAGTACCTGTGAATGTACCTGCAAATAGTGTCTTTGCAGATGACCAAGTTAAGATGAGATCATTAAGGTGGGCCCTAATCCAATATGACTGGTGTCCTTATAAACAGGGGAAATTGTGCACAGAGGAAAACACACATAGAGGAATGACAGTGTGAAGACATAGGGAGAATACTATCTGCATGCCACAGAAAGCCTGAAGCTATCAGAAGGTAAGAAAAAGGAATGGAACAGATTCCCCTTACAGCTCTCAGAAGGAACCAATCCTATAGACACTTTGATTTTAGACTTCTAGGCTCCAGAACTGTGAAACAATAAATTTCTGTTGTTTAGGGCACTGAGTTTGTAGTATATTTTTATGGCAGCCTCAGGACAGTAATACACCAAGGATCAGTAGATGCCTCCTAGAACAGCTGGCATCAGACTCACTTTCCTTCATTTGTGGTCTCTGTAGATTTCTTTTACTTCCTTACTCATACTACTCTACATTCCAAAATATGTTTTAAAAAATATTTTATCCAGCAATTTATTTGTCTTCTTTTGGGAATATTTTTAAAGGATATTTAGTCTTCATTTTGCTGGAAATGGAAGTCTGCTTGATTCTTCAAGGATGGCTTTCTGAAAATGGAGTTTGGTTTTTCTCAGGTACTTGTCATTACTTTCCAAGTCAAATTTATTATTTCTTTTGTGCGTTAATTGTGCCTAATATTCTCTTGTAGTCTGTACATGGCATTTTATTTCTCACAAAATTTCTAGCTCTTTGAGGGTTGGGATGGTGTCTTATTCACCTTTCTATACTGAGTATACAGAACAATGCCTCACATATAATAGGCACTTAATAAATGCATTTATTAAATACATTCAGTATTTAAACTGAATGTGTTTGTATACTGATCAGATGCATAGGTATGTTAAAGTTGCTTGGAGTGATAGCTTTAAGTCTTAATTTAAAATTTATATTTTTAATTTGCAAATGCCTTTGTTACTGAAGGTTATGGTCATCTACTAGTGATTCTTTTTTCTTTCTGACTAATATGATTAAATGTGATTAAATCTAAGCCTCAGGTAACCTCTTGGTTTTAGCCCTTTCAAGTTTCCTATATTAGAGTTTGAAGTTACTTATTAATAAATATTATTTATAATTATTAAAACCCTATAAATATTGTGACATTCATTTTATGAATGAGGAAAGTAAAGGTAAGAAAGGTTAAGGTGGCTGTTCCAAGGTGAGATGCATAGTAAGTACCAGAGTCAGAAATAAATTTTATTTGACTCAACAGCTATTCACTGTCCTATACTGACTACTTATTATGGATCCCATTTTGTAATAAAATTCCTTTGTATAAAATTCCTTGATATTTTTCTATTCCTATTTGATTCAGAGTATCATATTCACTTATTCAAAATAATGAATAATATCTTTCAAAATACTTGTTTATGTATGCTTTTTATAATATATTTTCTGTCCATGCAGTCACTTTCCATTGTTCACTTGTTAGATATAAACATCCTCAGAGGTTATATGCTAGTAAAACAAATAGGTAGCTTTTCCTTTTTCTTTTCAGGAAAGTTTTCCAATGTAGGATATTTAAATCCATGCTATTAGTCTTTTAATAAGATTTTTCCCTAATAAGGGTGTTTTTTGGTGCAATCTATACCACACACTACCACGCACTTGCTTATACCTTGCTTACTTTCCAGTTGCTGTAGTATGTCATATGTACACTTTATTTACCCAAATAGTTTTTAAGTTCCTGAGGTCAAGAATGCATTTTCTGGTACTTTGTATTCCCATAATAATAGCTGCCATTTATTAAAGACTTACTACCAGGAACTTTGCATACATTTCATGTATTTACAATAACATGGCAAATTAGTTATTATTACCCCCATTCTACAGATGTGGAAAGCCTCAGATATAATTAGTGCCAAGATTGTAAACCTATTAAGTGACCATAATGATGGGTGCTTAATACATGATTGTTGAGTTGACTGATTTGTGGTAATTTTCCTGAAAGATCTTTTCATCTGGCCACAGTGCAGTAGAAAAGACACCCAGTTTGTATCCTTATGCTATAAATTATCAGCCTATGACCATGGACAAGTTATTCAACATCATCAAATCTGAGTTTTCTGATTTGTAAAATGAGATAATAAAGTCCAATCCATGAAGGGGTTATGAATATTAAACTAGGCAATACAGATACAAAATAAATATTGATTTATTAACTTGCTTGACTTTGTGTTTCTTTTCTCTCACTGAAATGTAGGCTTAGTGAATAAGTGAATAAAGAAGTACTAAAAATAAAAGACATTTATGAAAATACCTCCTATTTTCTTCATATACATGTGATTTAATAGCCTAAAAATTTTATGAATAGATTCAATATAATATTATTCAGGATTTTACTGAGTGCTTTTTATATGCTAACATATTCATAACTACATTAAAACGTCTTCAGAGAACACTCTCAGATCAATTACTATCACACTTCCTAAACAGAGACCACTTGTTTTTAGGATGTTCATATCCTTTTCCTAAATATTTAGGATTTTATTTCTAACAACATTGGATAAGAGACTAGTCATCTTTTAATCTAATGGAAAGATATTTAAATATTTTTTACCACTCCTTTTCCCCAAATTAATAGATCATTTTTGTGTGAGACAATTTTTGTGTTAGTTGATTTAATATCATTGTTGTTATGTTTTGATCTTATTTCTCTTCAGTATGTTGTGTTGCTGAGTAGAGAAACCTCACAATGGCCTAATACTGTTCTTGTTTAAATTCTATATATTTAAACTCAAAACAATGATATAAAATATTACTGTAGAAATGATAATTAATTTTACATTGATCCTAAACATAATCTCTCTAAAAGACAAAAAAGTGCTACTAAAAATTCCCAGATCTTCATCCTGGTAATTTGAAACAGAGTATTTTCCTTAAAAACCACTTATCAAATTATTTTATGTTGGTAAGTCAGAAATTCTATTTGCTGATCTTAGGTGCAAGATTTTTCAATAAGATCCTATGAACTAGCAAGTATTTGGGGGGCATGTTTTAAAAATTAGAATATAAATAAGTTAATATGTATTGGTGTTTATAGATAATAGTCATGTTTGAAAAACTGTACATTTTAAATCTTTAAAACATGATAAATAAGCCCTTTTTAAAGAAATTGAAAGCAATCATTGATCTTTGGCTAATGTTATTATGTACAATTCTCTATTATATTGCCACATTGTTAATATTTTCCCTATGACATCTGTGATGTCCTTGTGGACTAAAATATATGTATATATTCCTTCTTTTAACAGTCTTTGTATAGAGTTAATTGCTTTACCAATAGGTACATGGTATATTTAAACAACTGTAGGCAGTTTATACTAGCTCAGAGCCATTTTAACTAGTTTTGGGCAAATTAGCCAGCATTGTCAGTTCAGTGCTCACTGCCTTGTGGCCCTGCTCTGGCTTCACATTGAACAGACCCTCAGTCTAGTCCAGATGTCCAACTGTATCCACTTACTCTTTCAGAATGGTGCTAAGCTTGCTATTTTGGGATAGAATATGTGTCTGTTGTTTGTAAGTAAAACATATTATATATGTAATTTGTACATATGGCTATAAGTAGTTTTTTTCCTAGTTATATATTTATAAAGCTAACTAAGTGAAGATGTTAGAAAATATCACAGGAAACTGAAAAATTAATTAAAGACAATTAATTAAAGAAAATTACTTTATTTGTATTTACCATTGTGATATAATGGAAAAAATTGGTTTTGGTCTTGTTTGCCCTGCTTTTGGATTCTTGGGCAAATATCTTTTACTAGTCTTGTTTTGTCCTTGCTTTTGGATTCTTTAGCAAATCGCCTATTATGTAATTAAGATTAAATTAACCTACAGGCATGGCAATCTAAAACATTTAAAATATCCATTCTTCCTCTTGTCACTATCATAATTCTATTTCTAATATTGGAAATTTCCAAATTGTGGATGTTAAGTGGCTTTTTAATATATATTTGCCTTATGACAAGAATTTGAGATAATAATTAGGTAGAACTAGGACCTGCATCAGTGTTTTCAGTTATACTTTTTAATTTATATCTTTCCCAGGACCATTAATGAAAATGATCTTACCTATATCTAAAAAATTATCAGCATGTATTTCTTTAGTAGATCATAATTTAATATCTTAAAGTAGTATTATGAAGTGAATTGCTAGTATTTGTTTAAAATATCCATTTCCTTAGTACTAAACATTAGTGAGCAATATCTTAACATATACACATATACATAAAGATAATCACATATGAAAGGACCAAAGAGCATTATTGTGATTACCTGCATAGTACCAGCTATATACTTATGGATAAACATAGAAAGCTTTGGTCCATGTGCCAAATGCAAAATATAATTAAGAAATTACAAAAGCTACAAGTAAAATATATAATTTACCAGTAGGAATAATTTATTTTAAAAAACTTGCTTTGGATTTGATAACATAGTCATTTCCTTATATTTTTCTTTAAATATTAACAATTTAACTTTTTATTAGTTAAAATAATTAGCCTTATTTTAATACGGCAAATTAAAATGCATTAAATTATTTTCTGAAGATCAGAAATTAAATGTAAGATTTTCTAGCTCTTAATTCTATGCTGAAAATCTTAGCATGTGTCAAAATATTATGTTTTTGACATTTCGACTTATTTATATTCTAAACATAAACACACAAATACTATAACCTAATGTACAACTTTTTCATTTTAAATGAAATGCAGACTGAATGCTTTTTCATTCACAGGCCTATGATACATTTGAATTAATGGGGATAATAACTACTTTTTAGCATCACTAAATATGACTTTAAAAGTTGAAGCAATGTTGGTGAATAGGTAAATAGATGGCTGAGGAAGCAGGAATAAAGGAGAATTGGAAACCTCTATCTACATGCTCTTTTTGTTCCTCACCTAAAATGTGGAAGAAAAAAAATAGAAAAAGTTAAAAAAATAAAAAGGATGAGAGATAGACAAAACTATAGGTGATAGTATAATGAAATACTTTTTAAAAACTGTTTTAATTACATTTTGCAAAAGAGTCTCTGGAGTGATCACTTTTATATCTCATGATTATTATATAATATCTTTCACAGTTAAAAACCATACCACACGACACACTATTGCCCATGTGAATATTGACATGGAGAATATTATACTGTTAATCAAATGCTGCTTATTAATTTAATCTGATCTCATTTATTATGCTAATATATGAGTATTTTTATTTCATCTTGAATCATCACCACACTATAATATTACTGGTTTGCAGATTAATTGTTCTAGGCCTTTAAAATGTTAATATTCATTCATATCTGTTTCAAACTTGGACAAAAGAAGAAATAAATGTTCATTTTTAAATGGCCTGTATAGGTTTGGTCTAAAGTGCTTGAATTAGCAGAAAGGGCATCAGAATGCTGCTGTATCATATTGAGGACAATCACTTTTTAATAAAAATATCTAAAGGGGAAAACTATGGAATAAGAATTCCCAAAATGTACAATAGTTCCAAAATATTAGAAAAGGAGATACTATTATATTGTGTACAAAATAGCCAAATTAAGGCCAGTAAGTTATTTTTTATTTTAGGAAATCATATTTCCAAAGTATAAATTTTAAACTCAGAACAGACTTTACCAACAAGTTACACACAGTGTACACTGAGAAGGAACAGGGGAATGGACTGTATTTTAATAAGGTATGATAATTTGGTTGCATTTCTAAATTAAAAATTTGGCATTAAAAGATGTTGGCAGTTTTCCTTTATCTGTGAACTTTCATTATTCATATAGCACATCTGAAAATCTAAAGCATATAAAGAAAATAAATTTGGTCAACATGATACTACTTTATATGGTCAAGATAAAGTATCAGGTTTTTTTCTAAGTAACTACTGATGAAATTTAAAGAGCAGAAATTTCTGTCTCCAAAAATTTCCAGGAAGATTTTTGAGGTTTTCACGCATCAATTCCAGAAATTGTCTCATTAATTTCACGTTAAAAGACAAGATCACTTTAATTATACCAATTAAATGTGTTTGAAGTCCTGGTAAATTATTTCTTTCATAGCATTGGTTGTATGTAGGATTTCTCCTTAGTGCCCAACAGAAATGACGTGTAGTTGGATAAAGATTAGTGGTTTTTTACTTCCTCCCCCAAAGAGTTTATGTTTTTGGCTGGTTGTTGTTTTGTGTGTGTGTGTGTGTGTGTGTGTGTGTGTGTGTGTGTTTGGAGGAGAGAGAGATGTGAGGAAAGAGAAAAAGGCTTAATATAGAATTATTGAATAGGCCTAAACTAAAATTCTTCCTTGACCGATGATGACGGGGGCTGGGAGAAAGAGGTGAGCTGGAACAATTGAAGTGTAATAATATATCTGTGTAGTTTTTAAAAATGTACACACTGTCCTCCTGTCCCCGGTCCCTCTCCCCGTATGTGCTGGTACCTCTGTACGGTTCAGAAGCCATTTTAGTACTCAGGAAGCAAAATATGGGAGTTCCACTTGTGCTTTTGCAGGTGCTGTGGTGGCAAGGATAACCTTTGCTCACTTGCCAGGTATGTTACCATACTGTTATTTAATGTCTTTGAGGATTAAAGACAGCACTGAAAATTCCAAACCCACATCCTAACACCTGAACGCACAGTGTTTCTATCGCAAATGACAAAACATTTCACCGGAACCTTAATTTACCAAGTCTATATCCAGATCTGAGAAGTTTTTATTCTTTTAAGGCATCGCTGATGATCCATACAGTACTCGATTTTTTGAAACTATTCCGGATTGAAAAACAAGACCCCTTCTAGACGTTTTGCGCACCCTAGCTCTGCAATTCCCTGTATTTCAGGCTGAGGGTCTTCAGAATTGAAAGTGCATTTTCAGTCCTGGACGTCTAATACGTTATGGGGGGAAAGGCAAAACCACAGGGCAACTTTCCGAATAGTCTAAGGGGCTAAGAAGCCAGAGAGGCATTTGCCTCTACGCAGTTGGTCGCGAGGCTCAGCGCCCGGCTGTCCTCAGCTGTCATGGGGGGAGGGGAAGGGAGAGCGAGCTTTGACTCGGGGCACTGAGTTGCACCAGCCGCCCCGCTGCGGTCCCGCCGCCAGCTCACCTCTGCAGAGCTAGGCACTCACCGGCCCGCCTGCCCCTGCTCCCACGCTGCCCTCAAGCCCCAGTCCTCAGGCACAGGTCGCCGGAGCCATCCAG